CAGATACACTCTGGAGTCCTTTTCTGCAAGGACTGAAGACCTAAACAGCCACTTCCCCAGCGACTGCCAATACGCAACGGCTTCTTGCTCCAAGTTGGCCGTTCTTGAAGCCATCTCACCAAAAATAAAAGCCAAGTCCCTTCGCAGCTTTAAGCACAAGGGCTCCTGCGAGCTCCGTCTCACCTGTCTGTTGAGAGTGATGGCACTTGGCTGACACTTTGTACAAATGCCTTCTGGCCAAGGAGGGTGCCCTTCACAGCCCGATTTGATCTTACAGCTGATGTTTTCCAGGGCGACAAATTTTCCCCTGCAAGAAGGAAAAGAGAAGGCTGCTGTTACCACAACTTTTGGGTCTCAAAAAAAGGAAGTGGATAGATATATCAGAGAGGAAGCAGGGCAGAGGAGACATGGTGGCACCAAGACTCTGCATCTTCAGGGGATCTCCAAGCACCCCGCAGACTCCCACGGGCGATGCTCGGCTCCTGTGGTCCCCACGTAACCTCTGCTGCCTGTTTAGCAAGGCAGGTCAAGGGGCCAACGTGTGGCCCCTGACTCAGCTCCTAAACTGATACTCAAGCAAGAGCAGAGACAGAAAACTCATGGGACCCCACTTAAATAATTTATGCAGCACATGGGAAGCAATAGATTATGCTGCCAGGGCAAATTAGAGCTCCTTTCATGTGCACAAGGCTTCCTGCAAAGGGAAGTTCCCTTCAAACAAAAGTATTAGGGACTTGAGCTGCATCTCCCAAAGACTTTTTTTTTTTTTTTAAATATTTATTTTTTTAAAAAAATCCCAATGGCATTTAGAAACAGGAGGCAGAAGGTTACACCTCTGCATAACTTATTTAAAGGAGCTGCATTTCAGAACACGGTGGGCTCCCCAACATCACCGAAGGAGACTTTAGATCCTTCGCTGAACACACGTGCCACAGCAAGGCAGAAAGAAATAAATGCTTCTTTCAGTGCCTCCTCTCTGCTCAGCACTTATCCAGCCTGTGCCACCACAGCATCCCTCACCCCGTCGCAGGGCAGGACGCCTTGTTTTCCAGTTACCGGGCGGGGAACCACGGCACCGTGACAAGAAAGGGTCTCACTGAGGACACATGGAGCACGGGACAGAGCAGAATCAGGCCCTGAGGAACGTCTGACTCCTCTTTCTGGCTTATTCACAGCGGTAGGCAAGGAAAGCTGGTGGTGAATAAAAGCTCCCCAGGTCCACCACAGCCTCAGTGCCTCTCCACGAGGTTTGAGACCCAGGCCTGGAGCTTGGTATGATTAGGGAGCCTCCTTCCTTCCATATGGCCTTCTGCCCCACCAGTAGTGTTTCCTGGAAGCAATTACACTGCCACAGGAAAAAAAAAAAAAAAAAAAAAAAAAAAGAAGGGCCAGCCTCCCTTTCTCCCCCCTTTTTTTTTCCTTTTTTTCTTCTTTTTTTTTTTTAGGGTGTTTTCTCCTCAGTTTGCCATTCAACAGTTGTATCCAACACCACACTCTGGTGAGATCTGTCTGTACCTTCATTTGTATTTTAAAAAAAGAAGCTACAACCAGATTCCCTTAAACACAGAGATTTTCTTACTTGTCAGCCCCTCCGGTCAGCTTCCTGATGTAGGCATGGAAGGACATATGCTTCACAGGAGGTTCCAGATGGTTTAGATAATCCTCATCGAAAGGCTGCCAAAAGCACCACACAAAGAAAAGCCAGGTCAGACACCTGTCTGATAACACACTGATCACTAAACAAATGGATGTTCTAGAGTCAACCCCACCGGCTTTCAATGTGGAAACCATCAGGAAAATCGAGGCTCATTTTCAAGGCAGCTACTACCGCGATAGAAACAGCGGGGCTTTACGACAACCAGCTTTATTATCGCCTCCTACTTTTACAACAGATTGGCCCCACAAATCAGAACGAGTCTCAAAGGCAAAACGCTTTTTCCTTTCAGTGTCTAACAGCAAACAAAAAGCCCAGCTGCTCAAACAAGGCCAAAGAACTTCCAGCGCACGCGGCAGGGAAGCAGGGGAACAGCCATCCTGGCTCGCAGCGACTTTGGAGGGACGGCTGCTCCGTGCCGTAGATCATACAGCTCAGCACATTCGTGGGCGTTACTAAAGCTGCCTTCAACCTGAATAATAGGTGGTTAAACTGGGAAGTGCTGGGATCCGAGAGAGAGGGGATAAAACAAGAAGATCCAGGGAAGAGCGAAGAGGGAGGAAAGCTGGAGCTTTTCTCACGCACTTTCTGTTAAACCCATCACTACAGAAAACCAGAGCATTAAGCAGAATGAACCCAGGGTCACGAGGGCCAAGAGCTTTAGCGGCCCCGGATGCGAGCCGGCACCTTTGACAGCACACGGCAGGATTCCGACCCGGAGCTGCCTCCGCAACGTGGGCAGCGCTCCGAGGAAAAGCGTTCACACTGGAAGAAACCGAATCCAAGAGGACACTCTTTTGTGTGAGTTTCTAGGGCACCTTTTTGGGGCTCTTACCTCCAGCGGTACACAATGCACACATTTACCCAGGGGGCCGTGGCGACACCTACGCAAAGAGAAAGAGAAAGAGCCTTAAATCTTACTCAATAATGGAAAAGTCAGACTAAAAGTCGCTCTGGACTCACGGTTTTGGTGTGTAAGATCTGCAGAATCATACGGCTCTGAGCACCTCACCACCCACTAGGGAGTGTTACAGAGGGGTCAACCACAAGATAATTTCACAAAAAGAGACAACAGCTTCAGGTTAAACCTGAGAGCCCCAGGTCAAGATCAAACCCTCCCAACATCTGTGTCACGGGCAGCGGCTCCGCTCTCCCCGAACAGCCACGTGAACCGATGTCGGATCACAGCTTCTCGAGTTTTACAGCCCTGCGCTGAGGCTGTGTTTCAATTCAAAGAGTTTTAAATCTGTGTCACACGGGTGGCCTGCGTGGTTTCAACAAAAAGACACCCAAAACATCCATCCTTTATCAGGCACTGGAGGATGGTCTGGAACAAACAGGGAAGCATGTGTTTATCGGACTGATAGAGACCTGCTGGGTAAAGTTACAAAACAGAGAGGAAAACATCTCCTTTTGAGGCGATGCTTTAAAAAAAAACCCAAACAAAACAACAAAAAAGTCTCCCCACACCTCTGCCCCAGCACAAGGTCAGTGCTTGTTTTCAAAGGAAGGCCTCCAGAGAGGAGCATGGATGCTGGCTCTGGTGAAGGCAAAATGGATGGCATCCAGTTGCAGCGTTGCTTTTAACAAAGTATTGTGGAGGACAATGTACGTGAAGGACCGCTAAAGGCTGCTAATGCACCCAGCCGAGCGCCAGCATCCCTTCGTGTTAGGATTGATACGCTCTCACAAACACAGGAACAAGCCCAGACACACTCTTTTTACCATAAATATCCACCGCTGTGCTCTGGCTCCCTGCTGAGGACAATACCTTCATTTATTCTTTTGAAAAATGTGGTCAAGTTAAAGACAATGTTTTTGCCATGGAGTGGTGGGGTTCGCCTTCATTGTTTCAATAACGTGACATTTCCCTCATTTATCACCAGCCTGAAAAGGTTAGATAGGATTTTCCACGTAAAGGCTGTGGCTCTCCAAACTTCCTTGCTGCTGCAGCACTAAAGATAAACCATATGGAAGACAACACAATGGGGAAGGGTGAGCTATTCTGCTCTAGAAAGAATTCCTGGTTGCCTGTAAAAATTTAACGCAAGCCCTTTCCCAAGTTACTCTGCAGAGAGGTCCAGCCCCAACCAACCACCAGTACAGACACTGGGCCAGGAGCCAACTGGGACGTCAGTGATGAGCCATAAAAAACAACCATCCAGACAGAGGATATTTTAGCAGCATCAACCTAGATTTACGGTGGTACCAACTCACCATTGTATTATTACTGCCACAAAGAATACCAGCCGCTTTGTGCACCTGAGCCTCTTGCAGCTCAGAGTTTGTTGCATTTCCGTGGGCAAAACAGACCCCCTGGTTTCACAGAAAGGTTAGAAAGGCACGTGATGGAAAGGAAGCCAAAAACCAAGCAGGCAGAGACCCAAGTCCCACTTCCACATCTCTGCCATTGGACACTTCTACTCACTTCTTTGGTTTTCCCTTCAATTCCTGGTTTTTCCTTTACAAAGAGTGGCCTGGATCTGAAGACCCAGAAGTGCTCCTGCTGGGGACATCCTGGGTGAGGTGCCACAGGCACCCATCGCGGCGCCAAAGACAGCGATGCAGCGTTGTGTGGGCTCTGCCCAAGCAGGGAGAGGGCATGGCAGCCAGAAAAGGCAGGAGCTCCGGTCTCCGCTCCGACACAGAAGCCACTGGAGATTGAGAAAACGAATCCGACCCTGATGCTCACCCTGCCGCCCCGCGCGCCCGCCACCTCGGGACCCAAACAATGGGGAACTACACAGTGAGACCACACAGAACAGAAGCTCCTGCAGACAGCAGGCCCTGCTTATTGAGCACCATGCCACACACAGAGCATAACCTACATGGCACCGGCTGCCAGGGCATCCCAGGGAAGAATTCAAAGCATTCATTTTAATCTAGAGAGCTGCAAATGTTTTGGGAGCATAAAATATAGGATGACAAGTCCCATAGCAGGGGCCACCTTGATCAGAACAATAGATGCCCTGAATGAGTCCTTCCTGGCAAAGACCCTGGGATTTTGGTATCTGCTTCCTTCCTCGGCTCGCCAGAGCTTGATTTAACCTTCCCGGACAATGGCAAGGCCCTTTTCCCTTGTGAACGTTTCAAAGGCAGCGAGGGACAGCGCAGTGGCTCGGAGGGCCGTTCCCACAGCGTGCTTCCTGGCTGCTGGTTTCAGACAAGACGTTACGAGCTCTGGTGAGGCACAGATGCATCGTCAGGAACAAAGTCCACCTGTACTTACAGCTGCTGGTCTCGATTCCGGTAAATCTTCCCATCCTGTTTGATCAGATACTGGTCGATCTCATCTTCCACCACCTGGGGGGCTCCCACGGGCCGCAAGCCCTGAGTGGCAGAGGTGTCCATGGTCTCCGAGGAGGAGCCAGCCGGGCTCGAGGGGTAGAGAAACAGCATATCGCCATGCCTACGGGGGCGGAAAACCAACACATGGCCATCAGGAGTTGGGTCTGGGTAACAAACCTCCCAGACGCCGGAGGAACGCGTAATTTATCACAAACTACACACGGAGTAGCAAAACGTGGCAGTCCCAAGCCATTCCATCAGCCACCTCTTTCTACTGCTTTGGTCGTTGGCACAACAAATGCAAACCTTCTCATCGGGAGGCAAGACCGAGGGAAAAAGATGAAGAAAAAAGTGAAAGGAGCCTTTGGAGAAAAGCAACAGCTCCAGCAGGGAAAAGAACTGGCATGGATCCCTCAGGCCACAGCCGGAAGGCAGCTGCCAGCACCGACACGTCCCAGCGACAAGTTGCACACGGTGGTAACAGCTCCTGTACAGTCAGCTTAACGTTATTCCTGACACGAACAGAGCGAAGACATTCCCAACCCAACCCGAAGCGATGGCACCATTTGGCACCTCGATCTCCCAGGGCACCTGGCTACAGATGGCAGACCGTAGGGACTGTCAGACGCTGGCGTTGGCACAGAAACAAAAGGGCAGCGCGAGCAAAAGCTGGGAGGAGGGAGCTGCTGCCCCACCGCAACACTGTCTGCTGCTGCCCCACTGCGGGGAGGCGTTTGGGGAAGCTCGGAGAAGAGGTGCCCCGCTGTACGGAGCCCCCCCTCCACCCACAGCGCGCCCCGTCAGGACTCACTTGATTTTCAGTAAGTTGAGGGATTTGTTTTGCGACGCCGTGATCTCGCCTGTCCTGTTTCTGTTGGTGTACACAGAAAAGCCATTGTTCCTGAAACCAAATTCTTTTGCAACCTGAAAGAGAGAGAAGAATGACAAGGTTTGAGATACCCCACAACCCCAGCCAGACACTGAAAGCTGCTCGGAGCAAGCGCTAAGTCCAGGGAACTTCTATTGCAAAACTTTGGCTGAATTCACCCACGTTTCTGCAGAGCACAAGAAAAACAGAAATGCTGAGTAACACAAGCAATTTATTTAAAAAGCAACTTAAAAAGAACGCGTGTCTCACACAACACAAGTGCAGCATTTTATCTAAATCCAGGCAAGCGCTGTCATGACTAGAGGAGGGAAACTATCCTCTCCATTATCCCACTTTCCCCCCTCCAGCCTGGCCAGCACGCACCAGCCAAGCCATTCACCTTCCTGTGACCAGAATTCCTCAGCCCAGATCTTCACCTCTGAGGACCTTTTGCCCTCAGCTCTGCTCTCGCGCACCAGCTGACACCCCAGTTTCACATGAGCTCTTCCTGCTGTTCTCCTTTCCCTTTCTCTCCATTTTCCTCTTTTTCTCCTTACCCTCACAACAACCACCTCTCAGTCCCCAGGCAGGTTTTTTCCCCTGCTCATCCTCTCAGCAGTCCAGCAATAACAATTTTCACATTTGACCACTTCAAAACACGGTTGGTTTCAAAGTGGTGTTAATAGTTTCTCTAGATGACAGGTTCCTTCCTAAATTCTTAAGTTAACAGCCTCGTTTTTATTAAGAACTTCTCTCTGTGGCTTTGGCAGGGCTCAGAGACAGTGAGTGCACACAGGACAAACCTAAGGAGCCACAAACACAGCTGTCACACGAGCAAAGTCACGGAAAGCAGTTTCTCTGTTGTCACCTTGGCTGCCACGCGCAGCAGTAAGCGATCCGTCGTGCAAACGGAAGCACAACTCACAGGGTTCACCTCCTGAATTACCTCTTCGGGCCAAAGACTTCACCCATTTTTTTGGGGGGAGACAAATGCCACAATACACTAACAAAAAGCTCGAGTTAGCCCCTAACTCGATTCTAACCCAAACGTGCCTGAGAGTTCACTTTTTCAGTACTCTCACCTAGGACGTGCTACAAAAGACAGAGAAACACTCCGAAATGTGCTTTTTTTTTTGCATGCTTCTCTTGCAGCTTCTATGGAGGCATCAGGAGGAGATCTAAGCTAATTGCAAAGACCGAAGCAGCAACCTGATGCCTATTTAATTACAGCTATCTAGCTAAACACGAAACCCACCGCATGGATTAACATCTCAGCGCTAAAACGCACAGCTATAAATACACGCAGATCTTTGGCGGTAAAATTTGCAACTTCTCTGTTCCCAGTAAGCCCTATATTAGGGAAGAAACCCAAACATTTCTTGTATGTATCCTCAGCAAGAGGATACAGTTTTCCTCAGATCGACGGGCGATTCCAGTGAGTGCCGATGCTTTTGTTCCGACAGTACGTGGCTGCGGGCACGATTGTTCCACTCCGCCTCGGGTAACACGAGCCCTTGAAAGCCAGCAGCTTGTTTTGCACAGCTTCCAGAGATTTTGAAAGCAACACTTTTTTTTATTTTCCCTCGGGTAAGACTGTGCGGAGACTGGGGAGGGTGTCTCTGACCCAGCCCTGAAATCCATCAGGGTTTTCGTTTGGTCAGGTGGGGATTGCTGTTGTGGTCAGGGCCCAAGCTCCAAACAAAGCAAGTGACTCACAGGCAGAAGGTCTCAGTCTGCTCCCCTTCCCCCTCGCAGGGGGAAAGGAAATCTAGCTGACTAAAAGAATGGCACAGGAACACAAAGTACTTCTCTTACCAAGCAAAGAAATCCTAATCTGAGGGTTCCAGGTTACAGAGGAGCTCCAGGAGGGAAGGACACTGAGAACTGCTCGCTCTTAAATAGCAAACGTTAAACGCTGAGTAGTCGCATCAGAGCAATGAACACACTACTGACAACCCCAACACCCGCCGTGTTCTCCTGATCCCAGGGTGGATATCTTTCCCAGGAGATCCTGGAGGCTCTCGCGTACTTTAATCCCTTCCTTGCTCTCCCCAAAGCTATTTTGGAAAACCAGTGGCACAGAAAGCACACCCAAATGATCCTCGAAGCCCAAACAAGCAGCTGAGCTTCAGCCGGATCATCTGAGGAGGCCAGTCCCTTGCAGTAGGCTTTGACTATCAAAGAGCTTTCCCGTGCCGTTGCCAGCCTCTGCTTCCCCTGCTGCCATTCCTCTGGGAGAACACCAAAAACGCGCCCTCCCCCAGGAAAGCTCCCACCCCAGGAAACTCCAGCTGAAAAGCTGAATGAGTCTTCTTCTTTAAGTTTGTTATTTATCCCTCCAGAACAGCAACGAGGAAACTTGTTCTGGCTACGCCGTTTTTAAGCGCCATTTCCCACAAGGCTCACGGATCCTGGCTGCCGTCGGCACACTGACCCAGTCAGGGAGGTTAAGTGTGTATCACCCGTGAGAGCGAGCCACGGCACAGGCTGAGCCACCGGAGCCCTGCCGTGGCCCGCCGGAGCACAGCTGTGGCCCGCTGGCAAGCAGGGAAGGTGCAGACAGGCTCGGGGTACCTTCTTGAGGAACGTCGCCACCGTTTCTCGCTTCGTGGCCGTGATGCGCTTCACTCCCTCCGGCGACTGCACGCGGATTATCTGTGGGGTTAAGAGGACAGCCCGGGTTAGTTGGAGCCACGTTGGAGTTTCACGCGCGGGACAGACCGTCCCTACCGCTCCTCCCTGCTGCTCTTCATGCTGCTCTTCAGAAGGGCATGCAAACGCACGGGGAAGTAATTTGCTCTCGGTAGGGCAGCACCGGACGGATGCCCACGTGCTGCGGGAAGAATTACCCTCATGCACGAGGCACAGTAAGCAGTTGGCACCGAGAAAGACGCTGTGACCTCAGAGGTGGAATTAAGCTTTCAGGAGGAGGGTGAATCAGAGCCTCCACGGGAGCGATTTACTCGGTGCTGACACACAAACACCGGCCCAACTGGTGCCAACGGGCACCTGCGCTGTGGTTATGTTCCAACCCACGTTACCG